AATAACAATAACAACAAAAATAAGCCCAATTCAAAATGGTTTAGTTAACAAGGAAAATGCCTTTGATGTGCCTAGATGCTCTGTCATGAGATGCCTTCAGAGTTGGTTAATGCTCTTCCCTACTGTAAATAAAAACACAGGGACTTCCCTCCTTTCCCCTAGACATCCACAGCGTATCGGTTTTATCCTCAGGTGACCTCTTCTCATGGTCCTGGGATGGCTCTCACAGTTCCAAGTGCCACACAGACAGGACTGCTACTCTATGGCCTTTCTTCATCAGCCAGTACTTTTCCTAGAAGTCCTCTGGCTCGCTTCCCTGAGTGTTAGATTGACCAGAATTGTATCATGTGCCCTTCCCTAAACCAATCAGTGGTGAGAAGAGATGGTGCCCAGTGATAGGATTTACACTGGTGTTGGGGCTGGTCATCCTCCGTGGGTCATGTGGGGGCAGGCAGAACACCCAAGCAAAAGTACATTTCCTTCTATAAGGGAGGAAAGGCAGCCAGTTGTGTCTGCTGCCATTGCCACCTGTGTGTGGCTATAAATGGAAAAAGCAGGCTGCTCCGTGGCTGTGTTCACCGTGACTGTGGGGATGGATGACTGCTGCCGCTGTGTCCTTGGCATTGCTGGTGGCAGTAGAGCCTTCTCCCCAGGCTGCTGTCACCCACGTAAGGTCCACGCTACTTCCTGGAGTAAGGGCACCTTTTCTGGAGTTTTCTTTCTTCACAGTAGCCAATTCCACCTATGGAATATTCACTGCTGCTTACACGTGGTGGCCAGGGAGATCTGTGCATAGAGAGTGGTTCTCTTGCCTAGTGTTTTTGGGGAACAAGGCCGTCATTTGTTCCTGAATTTAACAATGCCTTTGCTGGGCATGGTGGCTCACCCCTCTAATCCAAGCACTTTGGGAGGCTGAGGGAGGAGGATTGCTTGAGGCTAGGAGTTTGAGATCAGCCTGGACAACATAGTGAGTTCTCACGTCTCCAAAAATTTTTTTAAAAAATTAGCCAGGCACAGTGGTACATGGCTCTTTTTCCTGTAGTCTGAGCTACTCGGGTGGCTGAGGCGGGAGGATCACTTGAGCCAGGGAGGTCCAGGCTGCAGTGAGCTGTTGGCACCCCTGCATACCAGCCTGGATGACAGAGAGAATCCTGTATCAAAACAAAAACAAAAACAGAAAACAATGCTTTGCCTCTGTCCATCTGGACCTTCAGCAACCCCGTCTCATTGGACTTGCACCACCTCTCTGGAGTCAGAGCCTCTTCCTCCTAGTTTTCAGATGAGCAAACTGAGGCTGAGGGAGGCTTCGTTGGCTGCTAGTGGGTCTGCACAAACGTGGGACTCCAAGCTCAAGGTTCTTTCTGCCTCACCACGGCTGCGTTGACACATTAAGCTTACCCTTCAGGTACTCAGATGTGCTTAGCTTTGGCCATTTCCAGTCCATATTTCCTGATGATCCGGTGCCGCCTTCTCCCTCCCCACACGGAACACAGAGCTGATTGAATACTGAATGCCAGAGGTGATGTGGGTTGTCCCACTGGCCAGGGGCAGGGCTGGGGGTTGGGTGGGAGGGGTCTCTTGCAGGTCATGTGACTTCTTGACCTTGACTTTCTGCCGTTGCCGGACCAGGGGCAATTGAGCTGGGTTGAGCAGTTTTTACTCTTACCAAAGTTCTCAGATGGCTGTATTTTTTGAGTTCTTGAGTCTGGTTTACATAATTTTCTGACTTTGTTGCTTTGATGAGGCCAGCTGTTACCTCACGCGGCTGGTAGTGTGCCTTTCTCTGGCAGAGCTTCTCTTCCTGGACTTTGTGACATCTTTTTGGATCCTTTGTGGCTTCTCAACTGTGTTACGGATAATTTACGTTGTCAGGTAAATGCTCTCAGGATAAATGAAATATTAATAATGCCATAGTGCTAATTTAAAAATACCCATTGCACATATTTAAGAGAATCCTCTCTGGGCTTGACTCTGGGCTTTAAATCAGGCCCAACAATGTCTCAACCATAAATCAAATTATTCTTTCAGCTGAGTAGAGGTTTTGGCACAAAAACCTACTATAGAATAGCATAGTATATGAAATCTTAGTTCATGCCTTTAAAACTCTTATTCCCTTTGCAGAAATTGGAAACCAAATACTCCTTTAACCACTTATCCACGCACAACAGTTAACCAAGCAATAGTCAATATTGGCTTTTGGATTTTGGGAACAGGTTTATTAACTCAAGATTTGCACAGCTTTGCAAAGCATGTTCTACTTCACTGTCCCCCTCTCCCGTCCCCCTCCTCCCATCCCCTTGAACATCAGGCCACCGAGCAGGGAAGGCCAGCTCCTTGGGCCCATGTACGGCTGGATGGGAAAAGAACACATTACAGTGAAATAAATGCTTTAAAAGCATGTTTAGGATTATAAAGTTATTATGCCTTAGTTTTCTCCCCTGATTATAAAGAAGAATATTTGTGGTTTAGAAAATTTGGAAAATACACAAAACTATAAAGAAGGAAACAGGAGTTCAACTTTTCAGATGCTATGTGTAAGTGAGAGGGTGCACTCTGTGTCTTTCCGTGCTTGGCTTATTTCGCTTAGCATGAAGTTCTCCAGGTTCGTTCATGTTGTCACAAATGACAGGATTTCTCCTCTACACGCTGAATAGCGTTCCATTGTATATGTGCACTGCTTTTCTTTTTCTTTTTTTTTTTTTTGAGACGGAGTCTCGCTCTGTCGCCCAGGCTGGAGTGCAGTGGCCGAATCTCAGCTCACTGCAAGCTCCGCCTCCCAGGTTCCTGCCATTCTCCTGCCTCAGCCTCCCGAGTAGCTGGGACTACAGGCGCCCGCCACCTCGCCCGGCTAGTGTTTGCATTTTTTAGTAGAGACGGGGTTTCACCGTGTTAGCCAGGATGGTCTCGATCTCCTGACCTGGTGATCCGCCCGTCTCGGCCTCCCAAAGTGCTGGGATGACAGGCTTGAGCCACCGCGCCCGGCCCACTGCTTTTCTTTATGGGCATTTATGTTGATGGACACTTAGGTTGATATCATACCTTGTCTGCTGTGAATAATGCCATAGTGAATGTGGGAGTGCTGGTACCTCTTTGACATACTGATTTCATTTTCCATTTTCTTTGGATCTATCCCCAGAGTGGGATTGTCAGCAGTCATGTAGTATTTTGATTTGTAATACATACAAAATTGATTTGTAATACATTTGTCAAACATACAGTATTTTGATTTGTCATTGATCTTTGTGTTTTTGAGGAACCTCCATACGGTTTCCCATAATGACTGTACTGATGTACGTTCCCACCAATGGTGGGCAAGAGTTCCCTTTTTCCACATCCCCACCAACACTTGTCTTTTTGATAATGGCCATTCTAACAAATGTGAGATGACACTCATCATGCTTTTGATTTGCATTTCCTTGATGTTTAGTGATGTTGAGTGTAGGGGAACTGGGGAGATGTTGGTCAAAGGACACAAAATTACGGTTAGGAGGAGTAATTTCAAGAGATCTATGACCTGAACTTGAATAGACCTATGATCTATTGACTGTAGTTAATAACGATGCATTACATTCTTGAAAATCAGTAAGAGTAAGATTTCAAGTGTTCTCACCACAAAAAATAAATATGTGAGGTAATGCAGATGTTAATTAGCTTACTTTAGCCATTCCAACATGTATATATATTTCAAAACGTAATGTTGTACACAGTAAATATATATATGTATAAAATTTTTATTAGTTGGTTTAAAAAATAAATAATTTTAGAAAGATTTTAAAAAGAAGAAAATAAGAACTCCTATTTCACACTGGAAAGCCAAAGACCGTGACTGTTAACCGTTTTGATAACTTCTCTGAGGTCATCCTCTTTCCTGCCTTCCCTCCTTTCTTTGATCCATTTATTTTTTTTTTTCTTTGTGCAATATTGGGATGACACTATGTGTGTGGTTTTGTATCCTGATTTTTTCCCCCAATAATGTTATGTTGTTTTTTCTGTATCACAACAAATGCTTTTCTGTGACATTTGGGTAATTTGTCTCTATGCATAGGTTTGGAAGACTTCAGGTGGAGTAGGCTGGAGGCTTCCTAAGTAGAGTGGGAGTGTCAACTGGCCTGTGGAACCATTTAGAAATAATTCTGCCCTTTACAAATATTGATTTGATGCAGTACTTAAGATGTTTTCTAATTTAAAAATATTTTCAATGGAAACAGATGCCATTTACAATTTCTCGTGTTGTAGGGATTCTACTAAATATAGTATTTTGGGATTGAATATTTTACTTGGAAAGTTGTTTAAGAAATTCCCGTATCTAAAAAAAAAAAAAAAAAAAAAATATAGTATTTTGGGATTGAATATTTTACTTGGAAAGTTGTTTAAGAAATTCCCGTATCTAAAAAAAAAAAAAAAAAGAGAGAGAGAGAGAGACTGGATTTTGGAGCTGTGCTAGCAGGCATATTGTAAGAAAGATTTTTTTTTCTTTCTATCTTTTTAGCTTGTTAGTGTTCTAAGATTAAAAAAAAATACGGATCGTCCTAGCATTTACAAAGTAAAAGGGTTGTTTCTTTTCTGGGACTAAGACAATTGCTTAATTACAGTTCTCAGGATGTTTTCTAAACTCTAAATCCCACTACCCTGTTCTGAGCAGCAGAAAGTGCTAACAGAATGATCTGGGGAAGCCATTATTACCAAAGCTGGGGGCTGTAAGGAAAAGAAAACATTTTCAAAATATTTTCTGCGTAAAAGTGTATGTGTGCTTCAGCATGCCAGTTAGCTTGGCCTTGATTTCACTCCCAATTTTTGCTTCATAATGCTGGGCTTCCCTCAGAGGAGAGGAATGTTACCCCCTCTTTTTTTTTTAAAGGGAAGGATTTAAGTTCTTTCCCCTTTTAGGATATTTTAAAATAATGTTTAAGAAATAGGTTTTGTCGGTACATGTACAGTTGATCCCTGGCATTAATATTTGAAAACAAAATAAGGTTTAATATTCTTGAACTTATATTCAGGTTATTCCAGGATCTTTGGAGACCCGAGGAAAGCCGTGCTGACCAAAAGCAAGACAAATGACTCACAGAGAAAAAAGATGGCAGAACCAAGGGCAATTAAAGGTAAAACGAACAGAACCCGAATGATCCTATGCTGCCTAGTCAGGACCCTTTTTAAAAAATGTGGATATGTAAATATTTTGTATCTCTACTATTTGATGTTTATGGTTCCAAACCTCCACAGACCATTTCTGGATTCTTTGCTGTACTTGGATGAATTATGTTGGTTCTACATGACACCCTTGACTTCCCCTCAGATAAGATGCCCCATTGCCCAGCAATGTTCCTTTCCTGGCCCTACAGTGTGGAGGTTTTAGAATTACTGCCTTCTTAGTTCTGTGGTCTTCACCAGCCCCTCTTTTCTCCATCACCATCTACTCTCTTCTCCCTTTTCCAGAGGAACCAGAGGCATGGTGTCTACAGACTGCTGCTTTTACGATCTTTCCATTTTTCTATCATACTACTGCATTTGGCTTATAGTCATTTTGTGGTTATTTCACCTGAATGCAATTGAAACCTCCTTTCAAGGGGCACACCCAGGCAGTGAATCTTTGTATTCACAAAACATGCCACAAAATAAAAATAAAATCCAGTTGGAGAAGCAGAGGGTGAGCACCCTGTCTCTAAGGCGCGCCCCTGAGGCCGGCAGGAATGCTGGGACTCCCTTGGAGAAGCCCTGCAGGGATCAAGGTTTTGGGGGTGCTCACATGATACTCATGCAACCCACAGAATATAAGAGTCCCTCCCTTGCCGGAATGAAGCCAGGGTCGTTTAGTAGAAGGAATAGCAGTCCATGCAGCCTGAGACATGCCTTGACCAGGGTCAGCGTTCAGTGAGAAATGCTGCGACTAAAATGGATGTGGCTCCCGAGGCCATGTCCCCACCATGAGGCCTCTAGTCTGCATCAGTTAAGTGACTTTAGTAAGTCCCTCAATAGGGGTGTTTTCCTTTCCCAGCGCTGTTGTAACAAAGTCCCATGAACTGGGTAGCTTAAAACAACAGAAATTCACCGTCTCGCTGTTCTGGAGGCTGGATGTCCAAGATCAAGGTGTCAGCCCAAGTGGTTCCCTCTGAGGGCTTTGAGGGAAATCTGTTCCAGGCCTCTTTTGTCTTTTCCCTGTGTGTTCACACCATCATCCTTCTATACAGGTCTGTGTTTAAATCTTGTCCTTTTTTTTTGTACATGGATCAGTCATGTTGGATTAGGTCACTAATGACCTCTGTAAAGGCCCTACCTCTCTATCATCACATCCCAAGGGACCGGGGGTTAGTACTACAATGCATGACTTGGGGGAGAGAATTGATATAATTCAACCCATAGCTGTAAGTATTTTTATTCATTTGGAAAGATGAGCCATTTCCTACTGAAGAAGTCCAGTTTCTTATTTTTAGATAAATGCAGAGGTGCATTCAGATTCTCATGCTGTCTTCTGCCTCCGGCTGGTATTCCCTGCTTAGCTTTGAAGTGCAGGAGCCAGGACTGGACTGGGTTAAGGCAACTGGGGCACAGGATTTCGGGCGGTGCTCCCCTTTAAGCACTGATCCTGCACTTGCATGAGCCTGAGAGGGAGAGCCTCCTTAAATCATGGGCCCTGCATTTCTCCCTGCCTCCTCCTTCCTGCTCCATAAGGGAGGCCTGTGCCTCATTGAGGGTCCTGGTGTGCTTGGCAGGAATCAGGCCTGTGCAGTTCTTATGGCAGGGTTTGCTGGTGAAAGACTGATTTGCCCAATGTCTGCTCATCCAGGACAAGTGCACCCAGCGACCGATGCTTTCAAGGAATGGATTCATTTCTATGGATACTAAATTGCTTAGAGCCATTTTGCCTAAAGTGTTTTCACTTAATGACTAGTTATCTTAAAACTAAAAAATACATTTCTAAATTAAGGGTGTTTTTAGTCAGTTGACAAAGGGCTCTTATGAAAATTATCAATTTATTTATTGAGAATTGTTTTTCTTAAAAAGTTGCAACATTTTAATTAGCCGGGTATGGTAGCATATGCCTGTAATCCCAGCTACTCGGGAGGCTGAGGCAGGAGAATCACTGGAACCCGGGAGGTGGAGGTTGCAGTGAGCCAAGATTGTGCCACTGTACACCAGCCTGGGTGACAGAGCAAGACTCTGTCTCAAAAAAAAAAAAAGTTGCAACATTTTATACAGTATCAAAATCATTCATTTGAAATATTTTTACTTTCTTTCTTTTTTTTGAGATGGAGTCTGGCTCTGTCGCCCAGGCTGGAGTGCAGTGGCACAATCTCGGCTCACTGCAAGCTCCACCTCCTGGCTTCACGCCATTCTCCTGCCTCAGCCTCCCGAGTAGCTGGGACTACAGGCACCCAACACCATGCCTGGCTAATTTTTTGTATTTTTCAGTAGAGATGGGGTTTCACCATGTTAGCCAGGATGGTCTTGATCTCCTGACCTTGTGATCCACCCCGCCTCAGCCTCCCAAAGTGCTGAGATTACAGGCGTGAGCCACCGTGCCTGGCCTTTACTTTCTTAATAATAATGATTACCACTTGTTTAGTGTTGATTATGTGCCTAGCATTGAGAGAGCTTTCTTTCTTAAGCATAATTCAATTTAATCCTCACCTGACTCAATTCAATCCTACACCTGATGGTGTAGACAGAGGAGATAATCAAACAATGGTTTAACTTGCATACTAACCAGTTAGAATAGATACAGGCCAACTCTTGCACTGACACCTTTGTGAACTGCTGAGCATCATTTAGAGGTTTTAAACATTTTTTATTTGTGTTTCCCAACACCAAATACGTGGTGTTTTTGCCAGTACCAACCAGTTATTCAACGCTTATACCAACTGGGTGTCCAACAGTTCAGTTCAATTCTGATGCTGACTGACTGAAGTTTGCGCACAGGTTTAAGGGCTGAGTCCCCAACACTGTCCTCACTTCAGATGCTGGTTGCAAATATTGGGTCCTCAGATTACCTACACTCTGTCCGACATGGCTACAACATTGGGGATTCCCACAACCCCCCTTTTAGGTTCAATAACTTGCTAGAACTCAGGAAAATGCTGTACTCTTATGATTACAGTTTATTGTTAAGCATGTGAACGAACAGCCAGATGAAGAGGTGCACAGGGCAAGGTCTGGGAGGATTCCAAGTACAGGAGCCTCCATCTCTTTTCGTTTGTTTGTTTGTTTTTTGAGATGGAGTCTCATGCTGTCGCCCAGTCTGGAGTGCAGTGGCGCCATCTTGGCTCACTGCAAGCTCCGCCTCCCGGGTTCACGCCACTCTCCTGCCTCAGCCTCCCGAGTAGTTGGGACTATAGGCGCCCGCCACCATGCTGGGTTAATTTCTCTTTGTATTTTTAGTAGAGACAGGGTTTCACCGTGTTAGCCAGGATGGTCTCGATCTCCTGACCTCGTGATCCACCTGCCTCGGCCTCCCAAAGTGCTGGGATTACAGACATGAGCCACCGCGCCTGGCTGCCTCTGTCCCTTTAGCATTGGGGCGCACCACACTCCTCATGCCAATATGCCCACCAGCCTAGAAGCTGTCCTAACCCTGTCAGGGTATTTTATGGAGGTTTTGTTACATAGGCAGGATTGATTAAGTAACTGGCCATTGGGGATCAACTCAATTTCTAGCTCCTCTCCTCTCCTGAGAGGTTGGGAAATGGGGCTGAAAGTTCTGAGTGTCTAATCAAGACTCATTCTTTCTTGCAATTAGCCCCCATCCTGAAGCTATCTAGGAACTCACCAACCCGTTGCCTTCTTAGAACAAGGGATGCTTCCATCACTTGGGTAATTCCAAGAGTTTTAGGAGCTCCATGCCAGAAATGAGAGACAAGGGCAAATGGATTTCTTACTATACTACAGTAATATTATCCCCATTTTGCAAATGTGTAACTAAGGCTCTTGGAGGATAAAGTGATCATTTCTAGGTTTCCAAGGAGTAAGTGGCAGATCTGATTTCCATCCCTCACCTGGCTCTGCACCTGTGCTCATATCGAGCACTGCCCCCAGCCCGGGGCCCTGCCTATGCCTTCTAGGCCCCACTCCTGCCCTCCCCAGCAGCACCCGTTCCCATTCCAGACAACACCCCCGTGCCGGGGCACCCAGAGCTCCTTTCCAAACTGGACTGAGCATCTTTTGGGCTGCACCAGCCTCTTCCCTGGAGTTCATCTTCTTGGGAAGATCTTATATGTGTTTCCCTGGGTCTAAAGGATGAACAGGAAGCACTGCTGAATGGAGTGTGGCCATGTGGATCGGGATATCCATGTGACTCTATGTGTCCCCTAGCCTACAGGACAGAATTGGGTTTGAGAAGAGAGGAGGGGTCGGGTCGAGGGGTCTCAAACTTCCATCTATTTTCTTGCATCAGCCCTGCAAATATTTAGCTGCCTTCTCTTATCCATTTTGCAATACTGCCTCCATAATTACAAAATGCTTCCTTTCCCTTCTACCTTGGGTACCAGTCCATCTTTTATGTGGTTAGAGCTTAGGTAATCCAAATCAAGTTTGTTTCTATTTAGTAAGACATTGGCATTTTAAAAACAAAGAAGTGACACAAGTAGAATTCTGTTAATGTTAAGGCCTTTTTTGTTTATTTAGGATACCCAATCATAAAATATAGCTGAATCATGAAACACAAAATCATATAGAAGTATATACCTTAGGCAAATTAGTTTATTGCAAGAAACAAGTATTAAAGAAATTATTTTCAATCAACATAGAGTGAAGTTCTGCCAGGGTTCAAAGGCAGGTAAAACAGAAAATAAAAAGGCTCCTACAGTGACATGAAACTATCACCAACTACTAAATTTTTTTTTTTTTTTTGAGACAAAGTCTTGCTCTGTCACCCAGGTTGGAGTGCAGTGGCCAGATCTCAGCTCACTGCAAACTCCACCTCCCAGGTTCCTGCCATTCTCCTGCCTCAGCCTCCCGAGTAGCTGGGACTACAGGCACCCGCCACCTCGCCCGGCTAGTTTTTTTTTTTTGTATTTTTTAGTAGAGACGGGGTTTCACCGTGCTGTAGCCAGGATGGTCTCGATCTCCTGAACTCGTGATCCGCCCATCTCGGCCTCCCAAAGTGCTGGGATTACAGGCTTGAGCCACCGCGCCCGGCCCTAAAAACTTTTAGTACAGTTTTAGCTTTGCTACCAACTACTACATATTTGAGAAATGACCATTAGGAACACAAAAGTAAATAAGAGTTGCTCTTTAAAAAATCCATAAAGTACTTCTGAAATGGTAAAAAAAAACAGGCACCCAAATGGCTGCAAAAAGATCAGAGATCCGTGCGGGTTGAGGAGGCAGGGGAGGGTGGTTGAGGAGGCAGGGGAGGGTGGTTGAGCTTTTATTCTCCTGGTCTTTAGGTCCGTTGGGTTTTCGCTGACCTGGTGTGGAGGATGGCAGTGCCACCATGCTGCATGCTGAGCGAATCCCTTTGGTGTGTGATCACTGTCATGGTGGTGGTCTGAGGAGCTCATACGTCATCGGTCTCTTAATGTGGGGCAGCTGGGAGAAACTTAGGTTCCCTGCTTCGTGCCTTTCACCCTCTTTCCTCCAGTCCTCATGCTTCTTGTTCATCAAGGCTCCTTGGTGGCACCCTCTTGTCTCTGCATGAATCAGCTCTCTGTTTCCTGTAGGTATATCCACACGCCTCACTGGGCACCTCCACTAACTGCCTGCTCTCAGGACTGACCGATTCATATCTGTGTGAAACAGATCTATTTCCCATCTCATCCTCGAGGATCGGGACTGTGTTGCCTCTGGAATCTCTATCTATTCCCTTCCCTGTCATTTTATCCTTAATGCATTGTGAGTGCTCAAAACATCCCCATAAGAAACAAGAGACTCAAACAGTTGCTTGTTAAGTTTATGTCTTGGTTGGTTACAGACTGAGTGTCTGTTGTAACTTCTATGGTGTTGGCTGCGGTCTTGGATATCCAAGGGTGTTGATTCGATTTTTGGAATCCCGGGGAGGCTGGCAGGGCATGATGTGAAGTGAGAATTCAGTTGCTCCTGGGAAGGGCTCTGGGAATCCCATGGAGGCGTCTGGTGGAGGTTTCTTGGTTATCCTTCAGTTTCCAAACCCATTTTGAGGGTTGGATTCGGGTTTGAGATCATGTCTCATAGGTGAATGGAAATAATATGTCTCTGTGTTGGGATGAAGTTGGTTTCCTTTGAAATGCCCTGTTTGAGTCTCCTTTTATCACTGGCTAGAAAAGTTTTAACGACGATCTCAGTAATCCGATTATACAGGGCAAAGTGTATGTCAGTAATCTATTGTCACAAAAATGCCGTGTAACAAACTCCCCAAATTTCAGTGACTTCAAGCAGTAAGCACTTATTCAGCCATGAGCCTGTGGGCTGGCCATTCTGGTTGGCCCTGGCTAGCGGCTGGTCTAGTTGCTTCCCTCCCATGTCTGGGGTTTTGGTTGTCTATGGGATGATCAAAGGTAGTCTTGGCGGGGTGATCGGGGTGGGTGACTCTGCCTCAGGTACTTCTCATCCTCCCGCATGCATCTGGCCATGTTCCCATGCTGGTGGAAAGTTACAGAAAAGCAAAGGGGAACACGTCCTGCCTCCTGAGGCTTCAGCTAGGACCTGACATGCTTGTCTTTCTGCTACATCCTGTTGACTGAAGCAGATCGTATGGGCAGCCCAAAAATAAGGGTTGGGAAGTAATTCTACCTCTTTAGTGGGAAGAATCACAAAGTTATGTGGCAAAAAGCATGGATACAGGAAGAGTTGAGTGTCGGAACCATGTTGGTACTCATCCATAGTGACAGTGAAACGAGCTATTTACCCTCTGTCTTCTCCGTGCCCCTAGAACACTTACAGGGTGTTTCGATGACCTGTATGTGTAATAAACTACCCCAAATCCTAGCAGCTTAGTACAACAGCCCATTTATTATTGGTCACAATTCTGTGGGCTGACTGGACTCAGCTGGAAACTGCCTCCCTGATGTTGGCAGGGGCCGTAGTCATCTGAGAGATGGTTCTCTGGACTGTCCAGGACAGCCCCCTCCCAGGCCTGGCATTGGTGCTGGCTGCCCCGCTGGGCACCCAGTCCTCTGCCATGTGCTGTGCTGCTGACAGTATGGGGACTTCGTTTCAGGAGGCAGGAAGGGGAAGCTCACATTTCCATAAAGGCCTGGGCCTGGGACTCCTGAGGCCTTTCCTCTGCTGTGTTCTCCAGGTCAGAGGCAACCACAGGTCAGCCTGGGTTTGAGGGGAGGGAGACGAGCTTCAGTCCCTGCTGTGAGCGGCAGCATGTGCGTGCAAGCAGGGAGGAACTGTGCGGAGTGAACTCACCCAGAGAGCATGCCCAGACATACGGAAATAGCCATGTGCTCCCGAGAGCAGGGTCGTTCAGTGGGAGGCCCTCCCTTTGTCAGGACGGCTTGCAGATGCTCCCCTTCCTGACTGCATGACCCCAGGAGCGGAGTGGTGTTTTCCTGGGGCACCTGCTGCTCTCAGGATAAGGGGAGTTGAGGATTCCTGTGCTCCCAGAAACCTTCAACCAGACCCCATCCTCTCCCAGCCTCTTCTCCCACGAGAGCACCTGGAGCCTGGGTCACCTTCATCTGCTTCCTGGTTCAATTTCAGGACTGCTCGTCACTCCCTCCGCACTGTCAGTAACTCTCATCCCCCAGAGGGACTTACTTTAGGCCTGGGGGGGAAAGTACCTGTTTTCCAAGACCTAGAAATTTGGTTATAGAAAAAAAAATGCCTAAGGTTCCCAGCATGTCATCTTCCTGAAAGAATCTTGGGATGCCTCCAGGGGGACGTTTCGGGAGGACGGACGTGGAGCACGCAGATCTGGAGGTTGACACTCTCCACGAGAGGCGATTGGGTTGGAATGGGTGTGTCTGCACCGTGAGACGTCAGAAAGGGCGGATGTGAATGTGGGGAGGACTTCTGTGAATGCTTCACTTGTCCCTAGAGTAATGTGCTTAGTAGCAAATTTGAAAGACAACTTTTGAAAATGTCTCTAGTTCCGTAATCATAGTATTTTTATTTTGCATTTGTTACGGCAAAGAGCCATTGTAAAGAAGAAAACAAACAAAAAATACAGGTGATAAAAAGCAAGTGATGGCTTCTACAAATGTAAACTAAAAAAGGCCTTTTTAGTATCAAAAAGACAACTGATGGCTTGGCTGAGATCTGCAGAGCACCAGAGACTGGCTGGGGACCAGTTACAGGAGGCTGGAGCCTGGAAGGAGGGGCCCCATGATGGAAGAGGTCTCCCTAGAATCCAGCCGCAGTCAGAACCGTAACCAAGCGCCCAGGGAGGCTGGGCAGCAGGTGTTGGTGGTGGGAAGGTGAGGGGAAGAGATACCCCCTCTCCTCTCACCCCTGCTCTCCAGATGGGGCCATGTCAACCAACCCTGACAGGTGGCCAGGAGGCAAGGCGCCTGCTGAGCCCATCTGTAGAGGTCAGCCCTAGGGCCTGGGACAGCAAAGGAGGCTGGAGACTGGCTTGGTGGAAGCGGAGGGGCACAGACAACGGTCAGAACAAGCTGCTTTATAATTCAAATGAGGGAATATATTGGATTAAGTATTTATTTCTGGAAAATTCCTGGATTATAGGCATCTTTAAATTTAATTTATTTAAGGCATGTTTTAAAATGTCCCTTCAAAATATGGGTTGATACCTGCTAATTAAGTCAAACCAAAATGGTTTTGGGCTCTGGAGTCAGATAGGCTAATCTGATTTGAGGTTTGGTTCTGTCGCTTATTAACCAGGTGATCCTGGACAAATCAGTAACCTTTATGAGTCTTGACGTCCGCAGCTGGACAGTGGGAATGACAACTCTCAGAGTCGTGGTCAGAATGAAATGAGAAAATGTGTGTGGAGCCCTTAGCACTCAAGGAACTGGCGCTAAAGTACTCAATGAACGGGAGCTGTGCTGTTTACTAAGAACTTAATAACAAAGCTGAAAAGGATGTGCAGATCGCCTGAGTTTTGGTGGGATTTCAAAGTCCTGTTTTCTCAGTATGATAAAGAAGTATGTCCTGTTTTAATCTCATGTCTTCCTTTAATGGATCCCTCATTAGATCCTGCCCATGTGGAAGGATGTGTGAATATTGCATGTGATGTGGGTCAGGTTGAGCTAGATTCTTCTGGCCTGTCGGACTAGGGTTCTTTTGGGCTCATTTTAAGTGATTTTCCCAAGGGAAGGGAGGTGAGTTACCTAGTTACCTCATGGACCACACATACCTAGAGGATGCCTTTAGGCAAACATGCTTAACGCAAAGCTATGATTCTTCTGCCATTATTGTGTCCAGTCCTGCTAGAACATAAAACACAGAAATGCAGTTGTTTATTATTATTTATGTTGTTCCTTTTGTCTTCTAGCCGTCAGGTTCTGAACAGCTGGTAGATGGGCTGGCTTATTGAAGGACATGATTCAGACTGTCCCGGACCCAGCAGCTCATATCAAGGTAAGTCCTGTCTTGGCCGGGAAGCCAGCTCTGCCTTCCTCTGCGCCTAGATTTTCATGGATAGCAGCCCACATATCAGTTAATTAGGGGTCAGCCAACACAGCCCAGGAGCTAAGAAAATGGTTTTTACTTTTTTAAATGGTTGAAAAATCAAAAGAAGCATATTTCATAACATGTGTAAATTACATGAAATTTACATTTCAGTGTCCATAAAGAAAGCTTTATTGGAACACAGCCCCATGCATTCATTTCCATATCATCTGTGGCTGCCTTCACTCCATAATGGCACAGTTGAGTAGATTCGACAAAGACCATATGGCCTGCCAGCTGAAAATATTTACTGTCTGGACCTTTTCAGAAAAAAAATTTGCTGAGTTAATATATGAAATCACATCCAAATTCTTCCAACTCCTATGTTAATTCCGTCTCCTTTATACTTGCCTGGGGTTAGCGAGGAGGAGACAAGAGGGTGAATGGTTGGATTTCCGATACTGGAACGTTGTTTTATCTGGGCTCGCTGACACTTCAGCGCTCCATCACCTCACAGCTGCCCTGGCTGCTTTCTGACCTGCACTTCCTGAGGCTCTGGAGGTGAGAAGGTGAGGAAGTGAGACTTGTGCCAAGGGAGGTCCCTGAGAGGACTCTGACCATTTATTTTGACACTACACATACCTGTGGGTAATAGCTACAGGGAGGAAATGAGATGGTAGTTTTCATATACTTGACACAAATAAAGACTGCAGAAAAAATTAGGGCTTAAGCTACCTTATCCAAACAGGCTGTCTACACCTGTGCTGGTTAGTTCAACTCTATCTATGCTGGCTAAAGTAATTGACTGCACGGCCAGTTCTTCACTTTCCGCATGCTAATTCATTTTCCCTAAGCGGTGTGGTTGGTTTTACTAATTTATATTCCTTGCCTAAAACGTTAATTGAAAATGGGAAGGGCTTATAATTGAAAGGAAAGTTTGTGGTATTGAAAAATGTATCTTTTTGAATAAAATATAAAAAGCCTTTCAAAATCCCACACATACAATTACACGTGGACGTACACACATCTTAAAACAATACATTTGACGAGGCATTCTGGACCATGTGCAGCTCACATGCATACACATTTACTTTCTTTGAAAATGGAATTGGAAGTAATACGAGTTTCCGTGCATTCCTTGAGCTTTGTGGGTGCTCCTGCAGTTTCAGAGATTGCGGTAACTCTCGGGATGTTGAGGATTCTAAATTTTGCCCAAGGCCATAGAGGAGCAGATGCTCATAGGGACAGTATAATTTGATTTCTGTGTGATGTTGTGTTGGGCTATGACGGTTGTGTTTATCAAAAAAAAAAAAATGCAAGTGGCATATCTCTCGTGGATGTGATAAGGTTTCTCCAGAAGTGCTGGGAGCATATTTGATCAGTGTGTCTATGCTACACATGTAAAGTGGGAAAAAGACTTTCTTGAATTTTTAGGGTCTGCTGACCATGAAGCTGCATAATGCAAAGGAAAGCTCACAGGGAAGTTGAGACAATAAATATCTTCTATAGTTCAGAATGTGAGGGACGGCGACTAAAATTCATTTCATTGATATTCCACACCACCCCTCCAGGCAACCAGAAGGAAATGATGAAGTCAGCAAGAAAGTATTGCAGGTTTTAAAAAGCTAATTCATAAAGCTGAAACAATCCCATACAAACCTGAAAACACCGTCTTTGAAAATGTGTGTTGGTAGAAACGTTCTGTATTTGATTTCAGGAACGAACTGTGATTTCGGCTCTGCTTTATCTTATTATCATCATATTGGTTGATCATATTGGTTGATGTCAGTATATAATATCATCATATTGGTTGATGTCAATATATAAAATATAATTTTGAGAAACCATAAGTCTGAGAGTTTTTTAAAAATAAATTTCAGGCCAGGCGCGGTGGCTCACGCCTGTAATCCCAGCACTTTAGGGGGCTGAGGCAGGCGGATCACTAGGTCAGGAGATCGAGACCATCCTGGCTAATACGATGAAACCCCGTCTCTACTGAAAATATAGAAAATTAGCAGGGTGCGGTGGCGGGCGCCTGTAGTCCCAGCTACTGGGGAGGCTGAGGCAGGAGAATGGCGTGAACCCGGGAGGCAGAGCTTGCAGTGAGCCGAGATTGTGCCACTGCGGTCCGGCCTGGGCGAAAGAGCTAGACTTCCGTCTCAAAAAAATATAAATAAATAAATTTCAACTCACATGGCTTCTGTGTGTTTGGAGAGATGAACTGGCAATAAGAAGTGTGGTTACTAATAGCTGATACTGGCTGCGAGGTGGAATTATGTTAAAGATGTTTATTTCCTTTATATACCTATCAAAATTTCACTTATTAGAATTTGAATAATTATTTTTGTAATTCTTTTTTTGCATATGAGTTTGGGATTCTTGACAACAAAGTTGGTAGGATGATTTTCTTCCACCGATTCATTAAAATGCCTGATGTGGGAGTTTTTGAAGTAAAATTTCATGTGCGAGAAGTTTCTGGCTTTGGGCTGAGAAATGCTGCTATGATTTCTGGGAAGGAAGTTCTTATAAATGGCACATGAATGGTTTCTCTTGATGTATTAACGTATATAGTGGAAGATTTTGGTTTTGGTTCATTGCTACTAAAATGTTTTTGTTATCTGAGAAGGACTTGAGTTTTCCACAGAAGTGGCTTAACACTGCAAATGTGATTGTTGTGAAGACTCTTGAGTATCATCACAGTCCTGTTCGTAGGCTGTCCTGGAGGAGAGGAACATTCCTTTCATCTCAGAGAAATTCACTCTGCACAATTTATGACGACTCTTTTCTGCCAGAACAAATAGCTTTTACCCTTTTATATGTTTAAGGAGCTGGAAACAATAAAAAAGGAAGGATGGTTGAAAACTATGGAATATTAAATATTCTTGATTTAAATAGTGCAAGAATTGTGGCAATTCATTTACAAACAAAATGAGCAGAATGTTTATTTTAGCTGCTTCTCTGTGGGTGATAATAGTAATTGTCACTAAACATAATTTGATTTCCCTTTCTTTGCAGGCTGTTCCAGGTACCTTTATTTTTTAATTTTTATTTGTTTTTTTAAGACAAAGACATGGTCTCGCTCTGTTGCCCAGGCTGGAGTGCAATGGTACGATTATGGCTCACTGCAGCCTCTGCCTCCCAGGCTCAAGCGATCTTCCTGCCTCAATCTCCTGAGTAGCTGGGACTACAGGTGTGCGCTGCTACACCCAGCTAATTTTTAATTTTTTTGTAGAGACAAGGTCTCACTATCTTGCCCAGGCTGGTCTCAAACTCCTTGCCTCAAGCAATGCTCCCACCTCAGCCTCCCAAAATGCTGGGATTACAGGCATGACCAAGTACTTTTTTTAATTACAGAAATTACACTAACGAACGTATCATGCAGATCTACTCTTAGCATGTTAGGTGTGTGTGAAGATACAACTCTGTGAAGGGGTAGAGTTGTTACAACCAAAGATCCACTGGGTGATTATCCTCAGATCCTCAGCAGACAAAAAAAAAAAAAAAGCAAATCCATTTTCTTAGGATCTATAAATATTTTTGTCATTAATTCTATTTCTGATAAAGCTTTTTTAAATTCACATGATTGCATTTCCTAAAAAGGGTTCTGTCTCTGTAATATTTTCATTTACAAACATTTGCTGAAGAGGACTAACTAATTCCCTTTGTTGTTCACCAGCTACTCATGTAAAATAATACACATTTTGGAGCTGATGGAATGAGGACTGGACTGAGAGGGGAACCATCTGTATATTAGTTCTGCTCCGTGGGGCACCAGCTGTGAATCCTAGAGATGCTGGTCACGAAAATTCTCCGAGCTTTGCGTTCTTATCCAGTTGCATGTCACGGATAAGAACACATTCTGGCTCAGTTCAAATTCTGCTCTGACGTTTACTAACTTGGTGATTTTGTACAAGTTCCTTAGTTTCTTTGTGCCTTGGTCTTGTTTTACATGAAACAGAAGCATCTGTTTTGCAGGGTTAGTGCGAGATTAAATGAGTTAGTACATTTAGACTCCGCTGAGTACTAAACAATTGTGAACTATCACTTTGATCTATAAAATGAGGGTGGCATACCCATCTTAAAGATAAAATGTCATCCTGTCTCTAATACCCATGGAACAACATGGGTATGTTTTATAAAACACTGAGTGGAGTGAAAAATACAGAAAACAACACTCTCTATAGCACGTGCTACTTACATACATAAAAAAGTTATACACTCCTCAAGCAACATCATAGGCTTTTTCCAGGATACATACATACCTAACACATATAGATCACGTTGGAGTGGGCGCTTGCCTATGTGGCACATGCTGGCTTGTTGCTTTGAGAAGTGGTTAGGGGATAAGGGAAAAAATAATCATATGCAAAGAAAACAAGTTAATAACAGTGATGTTTTTATGTGGCACAGTGGGTCCTCCATGCTGGTAGGAGCATGAGTTTGTACAAGCACTTTTGTGTTGGCTTGGTGTTACCTAGTAAAGCTGAAGATGTGCCTAGCCTGTGATCCAGCAGTCTTACCCTGGATCTGTATTCTGTTGTATCTGAGCACCAGGAGGTGTGTATGAGCAAAAAACAGAACAACCCAAATGTCCATCTACAGAAAAGTGGATAATAAACCTATTGTACTCCACCAATGGAGTATTATACAGCAGTGAAAAATAAATTCCAAGTGTCTCTCTGTAGCCATGTGTCAATGTGGATGGTTCTCATATGTGAGTAGAAAAAGTTGCAGATTATATACAATGTGATTCCACAAATTAAGACTAAAAAGAGGCAAAATTAAAAAGCATATTATTCAGAGAAAAGTAATATGTGTTGAAAAGAAAAACAAGGACAAAATAAACACATAACTCCGCATTGGAATTACCTTGTCAGGGAAGGGAGAGTTTTGGGGGAAGGTCATAAGGGGCATCTGAGGTCCTGGTGCTGACTGTCAGGGACTAGGGAGTGCTTGCAAAGGTGTTGCTT